TATATATATATATATATATATATATATATATATATAGAGAGAGAGAGAGAGAGAGAGAGAAAGCAAGCTATAGTTATTCAATATATGTGTGTGTATAGTATTCCAGTGGATTATGGAAGACAATACTCCCTTGGGAACATCTGATGAAATCATGAAATGATGGATGGCATGGAGAGAGGAGTGTGATTCACCAGGACAGGATCAGTGGCTGGCGACCACACTCTCTCCATCACTGTCCATCATTTCATCAAAGGGACATGACCCCAACGGACTATGATCTTCGTTAATCCATAAATAGCATACCTTCCCACCCATAAAACTTGGATTACCTATTTATCAAAAACTACGTTAAAATAGATCAAGAAAATATAAAAGGATTGTATTTTAGTAGAAAACCTTTCACAATATTGAATGACATTGTTAATAGACCTTACCAAGCCACCAAAGGGCTACAATAGTGAATAGGCCAATGTAGCCAAACAACTTTTGGACATCAACCTTTTCTCCTTCTGCTCCAGAAAATCTTTTGAGTAAGACTGTTGAAGGCCAATGTTTATAAGTTCATTCATTAATCAACAATGATTATCTCTAAAAGAAATGCGTAAGTCAAAAATTATTCTGTTGTTTTATGATAGAAGTTTAAGAAGATAGACACGATCAATATTAACCTGTGAATAGGCCGTAAGTTATAGCTGATAGAAGACCAAAGACATCTCCAATGATGGAGTGATTCCCACTTCTGAAGAAATAAAAATAAAATATGTTGAGAAAGAAACCAACAAAAAATTAAGGTCAGATGTCAATTGTTGAAAGGAGTACAAACTGAAAATGAATCCCCAAGGTACTAAAAGTGACTCCCCAAGGTACATACCATTTATAACTATATTTATTTAAATTTTATAAGAATTCAGACCTAAGCTGAAACTGAAAATGGGGATAACAGCATACTTCAAAACAGATACACACACACACACAGGGGCACAGAGAGAGAGAGAGAGAGAGAGAGAGAGAGAGAGAGAGAGAGAGAGAGATCCAACGTACTGAGACATCCTCCCCAAGGTATATACCATTCTATAACTATATTTATTTAAATTTTATAAGAATTCAGACCTAACTCGAATTTTATAAGAATTCAGACCTAACCCGAAACTGAAAATGGGGATAACAGCATACTTCAAATCATGACACACACACACAGATCCAACTTACTGAGAAATACTCAATTGCGAATCATCAGTTGCCCATGTCTTCCCAAGAGTGGTCATAGCAACACCAGCCATGCTAACAAATACAGCAATAACCCTTGGGGCATTTAATGAATCCTGGCCAAGTACAGCCCCTATGAAAAGGGTAAAAAGGCCTGAGGTAGACGACAAGACTGTGGTACTTGCAACACTTGTTCGCGCCAGTGCCGCATTTGAAAAGTACTGAAATCAACATTGAACTCTTAAGCGAAAAGGGGGAAAAATTCAGATCCATGAAGACTAGAGAAAGAATTCTTATATGAAAAGAGACTGGAGCATTGGCATCTAGGAGTAATAAGCACCAAAATAGTAGCTGCATTATAATGAAAAGAAAAAGGGAAAAAATTTATGGAAGGTGTCAACCTTAGACTGTAGAAGTAAGGTGAGCCTCAAAGATCCATAAAAAAAAGTTCTTCTGTTGTGCAAAACCCTCCAATCGATCATCTCTATCGCAAGATGTATGTATAATTTTATTTTTACAAAAAAACAAAGAATCTCAAGTCCTAAGAAAGTGCATCTTTGTAGCAAATTATATGGACTGCCCATTTTCTTGCAATTAGATGTGAAAATAGATTTTCAGAACATCCTAGAATTTTCACCACCAAAATTACATCTTTCGACAAAGTTAGGAGGTGCACCTTACTTTGATTGTTTAAGGTTGACACCTCATGCAAACTGCACCCAAAGAAAAATACAATATAACTATTATCAAGCAAATAAATTGCAATATAGCCAACAATCAAAATCGACACTGAACATGCAAATCTCAATGCTTTTCTTCTTGAAGAAGTACAGCATATGCACACTGGATTGTGGGAAGGGGATCCATAAGAAAAGCCTCGCTCCTTAGAGCACCATATGATTCGTGTAAGCCCATTAAAAACTGCATTACTTTCTCATGTTGTTGGATATTGTGGTTGTCTTTACCACAATATGCGCATTTCTCCTTTGGGCAACCTTTGGTGGCCCGTTCATCAGAAGAACGGTCTCCTTGTGAAGCCTTCGAAACGAGTAAAGCAAAGGCCTCAATAGATTGAGGCTTAACATGCAAATTTGATTACTTTTCTTCTTGAAGAAATAAAGCATATGCACATTGGATTGTGGCAAAGGGATCCACAAGAAAAACCTGGCTCCTTAGCGCACCATATGATTTGTGTAAGCCCATTAAAAAACTATATTACTTCCTTAGAGCACCATATGATTCGTGTAAGCCCATTAAAAAACTATATTACTTTTCCCATTAAAAAACTATATTACTTCCTTAGAGCACCATATGATTCGTGTAAGCCCATTAAAAAATTATATTACTTTTCCCATTAAAAAACTATATTACTTTCTCACCACAAGAACAAAGGGAAAAGGTACTATAAGATTGCAATTCGTCCCAAAAAACTTTAAACTTTGTAAAATAAAATGCAATAGGCGAAGAACCTTGCTGCAAGCTTGCAATATTACGAGAGATTTGATAAATGCAAGACGCATTTTTCTGAGAAAAAAGATCAGTAAGATTACTCTAAACTTCGCTAGTAGTTTCAACATACATCACACTGACACTAATGTCAGTGTGGAGAGAGTTAAGAATCCAAGAATATATCATCTGATTACAATACTCCCATTAAGAAAATGTTGCATCAAATTCAATAGGTTTGGGAAGACATCCATTTATGAATTCGAACTTGTTCTTGGCCATGAGAACCATTTTTTATTACCCTAAACCAAGTAAAATACTTGTCACCTACCAAGGTTTGAGAGACAAGGACATTTTCGAGATTACTAGAAGCATGGAGGAAGAAAGGTAACTCAGAGTTTTCAGTAATTGAATCCATAGGTGTTTTAGCCATGTCATGGCTAATGGGAATGAAGAAGAGTGCACAACCAAGGAAGCCTTGTTGAAGGATCCTTGAAAGAGAAAATAGTTAGGGAACTACAACCCACAAGCTCTGATACCATGTAAGAACAATGGTGATTGAAATGTATTTGTTTCCATTGAAATTTCTTAGTTAAATAGAAGCACAATGTGTAGGAATTCCTTTTGATTATGGGATAGACATGACACAAATCCGTTTGATTATGAGATAAACATGATTACAACAAAACAATACATTTTGTTGACCATATCCCCTAATAACAAAACAATATTTTGTTGACCATATATCCTAAATAGATCATAAATGTGACACCCTTTTTGGCAAAAGGATACCCAATGAAGATGCCAGAGTGAGCCCCAGTATCAGATTTGTGACGTGAGTTAGGGTTGTGTGCATAACACAAGCAACCAAACACATGTATATGCTTATAATCTTCAATTTTATATTAGGAGATATGGTCAATAAAATATGATATATGATCAACAAAATGAATTGTTTTATTGTAATCATTTCTATCCCATAATCAAAGGGATTTCCTACACATTTTACTTCTATTTAACTAAGAAATATCAACGGAAATAAGTGCATTTTTCAAGCACCAATTTTCTTATATGGTATCAGAGCTTGTGGGTTCTAGTGGCCTAATCATTTTCTCCCTCTAAAATTCTTCAAAAAGGCTTCCTTGGCTACATGCTCTTCTTCATTCTAATTACCCACGACATGGTTAAAACTACCATGGATTCAATTACTAAAAAATCTGAGTCACCTTTCTTCCTCAATGTTCCGGACAATCTAGGAAATATCCTTGTCTCTCAAACCTTGGTAGTTGTCAACTATTCTAGTTGCTTTAGGGCAACGATAATGGCTCTCATGGCCAAGAACAAATTCGGATTCGTAAATAGATATCTTCTCAAATCTGTTGAATCTGATGCAACCTTCTCTCAATGGAAACGTTGTAATCATATGGTATATTCTTGGATTCTTAACTCTGTCTGCATCGACATCAGAGACAGCGTGATGTACACTGAAATTGCCAGTGAAGTTTGGAGTGATCTTAACGAGTGCTTTTCTCAGAAAAATGTGCTTCACATTTATCAAATCTCTCATGATATTGCAACCCTACAACAAGGTTCTTCTTCCATTGCATCTTATTTCACAAAGCTCAAAACTTCTTGGGACGAATTGCAGTCCTATAATACCCATCCCCTTTGTTCTTGTGGTTCGGCCAAGGCCATGGCTGATATCCAACAATATGAGAAAGTAATACAATTTTTAATGGGCTTACACAAATCATATGGTGCTCTAAAGAGCCAGATTTTGCTTATGGATCACCTTGCCACAGTCCAGCATGCATATGCTTCACTTCTTCAAGAAGAAAAACAACCAGATTTGCAAGTTAAGCCTCAGCCTAGTGAGGCCTCTACTTTACTAGCTTCAAAAGCTTCACAAGGAGACCGTTCTTCTAATGAATGTGCCACCAAACGTCGCCCAAAGAAGAAATGTACATATTGTGGTAAAGACAACCATAACGTCTCGCGTTGTTATCGCAACATTGGCTTCCCACTGTAGAAGCCCAACCATCAAGGTGGTTGTTCTTCATCTAAGCCTATTGCCGCCAATGTCCAGCAGTCCCATAATGGTGGACTGCCCCTTCTTCAGTTGAAGATACTTTAATCCCGTTTGGTAGCTCTTCCAACACGCCCCAGCTCTCTCCCGATCAGTACCGGCATCTCGTTAATCTAATCACCAGCAAGTGATTCCTCCTCTAGGGCTACTTTGCAAGGTAACAAAGATTGTTGTGTTGTTTCTTTTCCTTCCAAATGGGTTATTGACAAAGGGGCAAGCCATCATATATCATCCCCCGTTTCTAATTTCAACCATGTTTCCACTACCTCAACTTTACAACATGTTGCCTTACCTAATGGAACCTATGTACCCATTTCACACACAGGTTCTATAACTATGAAAGATGACATTTCTTTGTCAAATGTTCTTGTTATTCCGTCCTTTAAACAAAATCTTTTATTGATTAACCAATTGACAAAGTCATTAAATTGTTATGTAACACTCTATCCCAGTTCTGCCTCTTTCAGAACCTGGCAACAAAGAAGACAATTACAGTGGGTAGGGAGCAGCAAGGCCTTGACTATCTTGAAGTTTCTCCATCAAAGCTCAAGACACCTTCATCCAACCTTGCTTCTCTTGATTTATGGCACTGCAGGCTTGGTCACATTTCATATTCCCGTTTAAATTTACTTTCCAAAACTGTTCCTTTTATTCCATCTTTGAATAAAAAAGTTTGTACTATTTGCCCTATGGCAAAGAAAACCTGACTACCATTTACTTCAAGTGTCATTACTACAAAACATGCCTTTGGCATGATCCACTGTGACATATGGGGTGGATACCAAACTGCTTCACTCTCTGGTGCTCACTATTTTATCACCATTGATGATGATTTCACATGTTGCACATGTGTGTTTCTCATGAAGTTTAAATCTGGAACAAAGACACACCTCCAAAATTTCTTTGCCATGGTTAAAACTCAATATCATCGTCAGATTCAGACAGTTAGAACTGACAATGCTACTGAATTTCTTTCCAATGACATGCAACAATTTTTTACCAAATATGGTGTCGTACACCAACATAGTTGTGTATCCTCACCCTAAAAAAATGGGGTGGTGGAACGGAAGCACATGCATCTTCTTGAGGTCACTTGTGCATTAAGGTTCCAAGCAAATCTAGCCCTTCAATTTTGGGGAGATTTAATGTAGCCTATTTAATTAATAAAATACGTACACCATTGCTATTTGGTAAATCCCCACATGAAGTCTTCCTTAACAATAACCTGATTATGGGATAGACATGATACAAATGCCTTTGATTACAGGATAGACATGATCAAACAAAACAATACATTTTGTTGACCATATCTCCTAATAAACAAAACCATATTTTGTTGACCATATCTCCTAATAGAGAGAGAGGACATAATGAGGACTAAAAGGGGATGGGAAAACGAGTGGGAGTAGAAATAAAGTCAAAAGGAGATAAGAGAAAGATGGTGAGAGGGTTTATGAATAAAGTAGACAGAATGGTCCCGTAGTGAGGAGGGAAAATGTGTGTAAGGATAGCTGGCTTACAATACAAAGCTGCAAACACACTTTCTATACATATAGAGGAAAGTCTTGCATCTTTAAGGGAGAAGATGATACACAATGGATGAGGATACACAAGGTAGCCTTAGCCTCTGAGCTTTTTCAAAGAAAGATTAAAATATTCCCATAGAGTTTAAGAGTTCAATATTAAAACTTTTAGATAATGCTCGAAACAAGGAGATCTGTAACTAAAATAAAAATTCAAAACAAATAAATAATAGTTTTACAGTTTAATTACCACTGAAGCTTTTTAAGGGCTAAATCAAAGTGACTCCTTTAAGAATATATACTATACACTTGAAATCGAAAAATTCAATCTGTTTTTTAAAGTATATTTTACTTTTTCTTCAAACAAAAAAAGAGCATAAAATTCACCCGAGTCTTGTTAATCAGGAGAGTCAGCTGAGTCAGGACAAGACAATCAAGACTGTGACAAAATTTTATTAATTTTTACAATAAAGGAAAACCATCAGAATGAATGTGATGCAGGGACGCATTCCTTGTTAGGACTTGAAGCGAAGAAGTCACTGCAATAATAAGAACTCCTATTCCAAAGAACAAGAAATTGTTATGCCAGTAATGACTTTAATTCAATCACACCAGAATAGTTCAGGGCTCCTCTATAAATACCCTGAAGCTAAATATGTGGAAATGTCGAAAAAAGAGATCAGTGAATTATCACAGATAATTTCTTTGTCTAAGTTCACCCAAAAAATGAGAAAAAGGGGGTGGGTCCTAAATATGAAAATGATCGAGGGTCAGCAAAGGAGTCCCATATGAGTTAAATGACACACATAATCTCTTTGTCTAAGTTCACCAACAAAGAACAAGTGTGTCCCAAACACGATGAACTTCGAGCAGGACCTGTTATTTTGAAACTTGATTAACTGGTGATTCAAACAAACTTTACAGAGTTTAGGAAGTTTGAATCAAAGAGCAAAGTTATGGGGATTCCTGTGTCAGATCAACACATTTGATTATTTGGTTCCTTTTCTCTGTTAATCGGTGAGTTAGAACAGTTCTCTAACTACTTAAATTCAAAGTCCCACCTAAAACTCATTGGGAACGGTTAAAAGCCCAAAATACTTCTAGAGGATTTCAACCAGGGTTAAGACGAGGGTACCAAGCTTTGGCCACAGTTACCCCACTTAACTCTGTACTTTGATCCAAGATCCAACTAATTTGTGACACGTGTCAGTCCTAGTTCAACCACTCCCACTTGCCTCACTGAACCTACAGTTGATGATAGTGAATTTCGCCTCTATGCCAACCCATGTTTTCATATTGAAATGGAATGTATACAATGAGGCCATTTACTTTTGATACAAGGAGGTCACAATTATCATTAACCGTTAGCTTTGAAATTGGGTGGTTAAGGATGTGTCATTATTTGGACACAAAGTCCAAAACAAAATATGTTGAGACACACTTTCATCTATTGGATTTTACATCCAATGGATAAAAGTGATTGTGACCTCCTTGTACCAAAAATAAATGGTATCATAGTATATAATCCTTATTGATATTTGCAGAAAAAACATGATCAAAGAGGCGAAACTCTATCCCCCTGAGTTTTTAACATGGTTAACTGATCACTGCTGTTTTCTTGCTCATATCTCAGACTTTTTCTCATAAACTTTTTTCTCCGTGATCTTTAACCAAGACCCAACCAATTTCAGCCAAAGAACAAACCAGAGTTGGCTTAGTCACCAGAAGGATCTCAAGAGAGTGCAATAAGAGTTCTTTAATGGGAGTATTTCACTCAGCCCAATTTTGTCCTTGGAGTATATTCGCCCAGGACTCAATTGGATCACAGAGGGTGTCTCTGTGTTAAGGCCATCCAATACTTCAAAGACGGAGCATCCCATAACTCCAGGTCCAGTTGAAGGGCAGACAAAACAGTTATCAAAGAATCGATATTTTTCTATCCATTGTTTGCTACTCCGCAGAGAAGATATCGTGTTGTGTTCCAATTGTCTATATTTTAGTGACTTTATCTATGAGTGAGGTTGGCATCTAAGTGGTTTCCACTCAATTGAGACTTCACCTCGACATTTCCAGGTTGTCTGCTCGGGGAGGCTTAGAAAAGTCGGTTTTGACCTCAGTTATTGCAAAAAAATCATTCACTCGACTACGAAATAGGTTCTCAGCCAGCTGGAGCTTGCTGAGCATCTTTTCCTGAGGATTGGCATCAATTACGAGACAATTTTGAGGCTCAAAGTCTTCCAGCAGTTTTTGGTCTCTCAGTTGTGGCCATTGTTCCTCAAATTTTACTTGGGCCACCTCTTGACTGAAATTTATTCCTTTTCAGTGATAGAGTAAGCTCCTAAAGATTATCCTCAAAAAATTTGCGGAACTAGCTTGCCCTGCAGTTAAATAGTGAGCGCGAATTCTCGCTGTGGTAAACACTGTTTTAACAATTTCACTTCAGAAAAAAACTGGGTTAAAGATTATCTTTGTAATCTTGTTACTTATGCTTTAAAGGACCCTAAAGCCAACCATACTAAGGAATCCAATATGAGTGAATTGACACACATAATCTCTTTGTCTAAGTTCACCCAACAAAGTAACCAAATTTAAATAATAGAAAGCAATAAGAAAAGGGGGTGGTAAACATGAAGAAGATTAAGGAATACCACAAAGGAATCCAATGTTTAATCTTTCAAGAAGGGTAAAAAAAGAAGATTAGCTAAAGCACTATCTTACCTCGGTTACAAACCATATAGGAGCAAGGCAAAAGCTAGACTTTGCAATTTCCCAAGAAGTGACCTCACCACTTTGGTCCAATAAATCACCATCATCATCTGTTTTAGGAATCAACGGCTTTCCCTCTTCCAAGGCATGGAAACCCATTTCATAAGTCAGGCAATTTCTCATCTTAGACTCCAAACTGTGGTGCATTCCATTAACTCTCAAGGGAGAATCCAATCCAATTGAAGTGTTAAGAAAATCAGTCGAAGTTCCGAGATTCTTAAATGAATTAGCCCCAACCAAACGATAAATCCAGTCCTTGAGAGCAGATATAGGGAGATAAACAACCATAAGAGATGCCCCTATATACGTGAGCACAAATGGATGTTTATATTCTGTAAATATCCTCTGCAACACAGGCAAATGGAAGAATCAAAACTTCAGACCAAATATTTGAGATTGCAAGGAAATCAACAAAAAGATAGATTAACCTATATGAACCAAGGAAATTATCAAAAGCCACAAAATACTTCAAATGAGCAGAATAAATGAATATTTCATTAATATAGAGTTTATTTATTTGAAGTTGGATATAAAGAGATAAATGCATCCAAGAAGACAACAAATATATGTTTTGTTGACAGCAAAAGATGTGTGCATGTGTATGCGTAGAGAGAGAGAGAGAGAGACAGAGAGAGAGAGAGTTTGCTGTGATTATAAAGATGAGTCGGAAAAAGGTAAAAAGGGATAATGAGTAATGATGTAATGGTCCAAAACTCCAATATAACATACCTCTGAGATCCAGAAACTCAAAGTGAAATTTTTTCCTTTTTCTATCTCAATTAGACAATTACTACAAACTGCCTACACATAATTGTGGTTGCAAACTCTGTTAATGGCTGTTTTTTCTCGAATAAGAGTAAAAGGAACACAAGAAAATTGTCCAAAAACATGAATGAGCCAAGCAAACTAAGCCAATCCATCCAATTAAATCTCAATTGCCAATAAAACTCATGATTCAAGGTGATTTTCCAGCAAACGAGGAAATAGAACCTGCCCAATTTACCCAAGCAAAGTTAAATTAAACAACTATGACAAAAAAACAAGAACTGAAAGAAAAACACGGTTTCAGAAACTTGATTGCTGGGAAGAATGCATGCATGTATCCCCATTCTATCAATAGAAACAAGAAGCAAAAAGTACCCAAAAAAAATCACATAAGCAAATATCACCATCGTAGTAGATTTCAGAGAAAAGAAAAACGCAAGAATCGAAGAAAGAAAAAGCAGGGAGATTAGAAGCTGACTTGTGTGACTTCTGCAGATGTCACCCATATGACAACAACGGTACCTATCAAACACAACCCTGCTTGGTACCTCAAACCCATGTCCAGTTCCAGTTCTCAAAACCCCATTAACCTCTATACTTTCGAGAGACCAAATAAATCTTTCAAAGTGACACCCGGTACTAAAAAAACGTAAAATTCTAGTGAGCGACAGAGAGAGAAGTACCCAAGAACGAAAAATCAACAATGATAACCCAAGAAGAATTTCTTTCAGAGTGAGAGACGCAAGAATAAAAAACCAAAATTTTCTTGCAGGTATAGAGAGAGAAGCGAAATTTTCTTTCGGAAAGACTCAATTATTGAAAACGATAATTCTCTCTCAGGAAGAGGAGAGAGAGAGAGAGATTCTTTTTCACATAAACATATATGTCTAGGTTTCAAGTTCAATAGAAAAACCCTAGAAATCTCACAGCAAATACTCGGTGCTCATCTCTGAGGAGGTTCAGAGGCCATTTATGAGTATCGCCAGAGCGTTGGAGAGAGTGAGGACACCCAAAAAGAGGGAAAACGTGGAGGGGGTCGACGTTAACACTCAACGATCCAAAATAAGAAAAACGATTTCGTGCTCCCGCGGGTGTTCTTCGACGGGTGTTCTAATATCTAACATCAATGAAGAAACCAAAAAAGCCGCACTTCCCATAAGTTTTAAAAAAAATATCAGCCCAAGATTGAAAAAAATTTATGGAATTTTTTTAGGCCAAGATTAAGGTGTTCAAGAAAGTAATAGCTGACAAGAAAGTAATAGCTGAACTTTCATGCTATATAAAATAATAAGCCAAAAGATATGCTGCTTCTTCTGTAGGTGGATATAGCCTATGCGTTCTCTCAGGTAAATTCAAAGTTTGGAATACTTTTGAAGGATTGTTCACGATAAGACTATTTATTTTTCTTGTAAGGAAGGTGACAATTAGTTCCAGCCATTAGATGTCGATGGTTTGGAGTTGTCATAAAGTTCGATAATTTTTTTTTTTTAACTTGATCTAGTCATTTACACACTCACAACCAATCAAATTTGAAATTTAAAGCATAAGAGTGATTGTGATTTTCTTAAAAAGTAAATGGTCTCTTTGTATGTATATATTTTTTTATTTTTAAGGCTCGAAATTTTGGGAATATAACCTCTTGTGATTGATCTCCAACAACAAAAAAAATAATCTTAATAGCCTATTTTTCATGCACTTTAAAAAAAATAACATCCAATCAGTGAATAAGGAACATCCAATTTTCTAGAGCGAGGTGTCAACCAAATCAAAATCTAATTTTTTTTTGGAAAATAATCATACTCGCAAACATTCACAAGAAAAAAAGAAATCTCAAAAGACTGTCTTTTACCTGAGAGAGTTAATATACAGCATGTTTCCGCGGGAGCATATTATGTGAAATGAGCATGCATTTAACTTTTTTTATACTCTCTCTGCGCTTTTGCAACGCCTCGCGTCAACGGATGGCATTTAATATCTCCACTTTTCATTTAGTTGCTTTCAGCTTGATATTAAAACTGGATCCTAATTTCTCGTTAATACATAAAGACAAAAACCGTTCAAAAGAAGAAAAAAGTCATAAAAAAATAAAAGACATGCTCTTGCCCAGGGTATCTACCTATTGGATACGGCTTCCACAAGTCCTATGACTCAAATGTAAAAGCGAATCCCCTCTTAAAAAATTATTTTGAATTGGATTTCAAATTTAATTTTTCAGAAATATATAATTCTATGATGGATGATGAATATGTTAGTAAAATAAATTTTAAGAACTAAAAATAATAATTTTATGTTTGGAAAAAGTTTATATAAAGTTACAACCTTAAAATGTAGAATTATATATGCACTTCAAAAATCCATTAGAAAAGGTTATTTTAATGTCAAAAAACTCTCTAATTGATCATTTCGACATCGAGATGTATGAATATGGGGAAAAAAAAAAAAATTCAGTCCCAAAATAGTGCATCTTGAAACATATTATTGAGACCGTTTATTTTCAAGATTTTCATATGTTTATAGATCTACTTGATTTTAACAATTTTTGAAGTTTAAAATTTATAATTAGATATGAAAATAGATTTTAAGATAATCTTAAAAAAAATTGCACCAAAATTAATTACATGCTATAATAAAATTTAGAGGTGCATCTTAATTGGTTTGTTTAAGGTTGTAGTCATATAGAAACCCCACCCTTTATGCTTTAGACCATTAGTTCTAACTTCTTTGAATTTACAATTCCACCTTTAAGATTGATGTTTTATGCCTCGGAGGACATAAGTGTCGAAATGCGCCCCCCCGGTACATACAACAACTTTTCCTCTCTATTTCTAGTATTTGGACAAATTTTTAGGGTTTGGCTAACAATAATATGACGTCAATTTATAATATCTTTATTGATTCAATTTTGGTTAAAGGATGCAATTTCTACATGGCCTCGGCCTTACAAAAAAAACGTAGAGCTTCACCTAAAAATCTTGTTCAAGAACACTTTTGGTAAGGGAAATCCTTAAGATGACCGTAAAATATGTTTCTACCATTGAGTAGCTCAAAAAATGATACAGATCTTATGAATTTGTTAACATTTGAAAATAAATGACCTAAATAATATATTATAATTTACATTATTTTTAACGCTTGGAATTCTTATTTTTTATCACAACTATAATATCAAGCCTGAAATGATCAATTTGAAGGTTTTCCAATATTTGAAACTATAGTTTTGAAATGAGGCTTTATTTTTTTCCTTAGAGCCTTACCTTATTTTAACCTTTTCCAAAAAAAATACAACAAAAAGGCGGACCTTAATTTTTGGCCTACTATCTGTAATCTCTCCCTCCAAAGTCTCAAATAAACTATAATTTGGCTTACTTGAGCACAAAGCACACACTAACTGTTTGCTAGTTGCTCTCTCTACCTCCGTGTAAGTATCAAATGAAGCATTAGTTAAGAGCAAATGAACATTATAAGCAATGGTCTTTTTTCTCAAACTTTGCTTGTGCAACAAAAGGAGAACTTTTAAATGAATCTTAATTTATTCATTCAACATACTTTTTTTTATCTCATTTTTATCGTCAGAACTTTTTTTCGATTATTTATAGTCAGTTACATGAATCTTGATTCGTTATTCTGCTCTATCAAAGGTCATAAGTTCAATATGGCCATGAGTTCCTCGAAACCTCTGTTCTTTTCAAATGAGTCTCAATTTGATCCATTCAACTAACCTCTTTCTCTCTCTATCAAACTTCAGTTCTGGTTTTTCCTTACGCTCTCCATGAGGGAAATTGAGTAGCAGTCCTATTCACTCTCTTCCTCTCTCTCTCTTAACACGACTCTTTTTGGTCACTTTTTGCATGAGGGGAAGCGCGTATTAGTTAATAGCATTGTATTAAAGTCTGGAATTAGGGTTCCGAGTTCGAACAAGCAATCTTGTGAAAATTGGGATTTCAATCCAGATCAGCCAATACTTTGGGGTAAAAAATATTTAAAAGTAAAAAATGTCAAAAAATTGAATTCGGTGAAAGTTGCTTGGTTATCTGATCCGGGTCGTCCATTCTTTTGATATGAAGCTATACCCAACGAATCAAACACATTCCCGATTTTGGGTCACGTATACTATACTCCCTCGGGATGTACTTCACCATTCCCTCAGTTTGATGATTTATTTACGAGAAATTTTTTCAATTTGAAATCACTAGATGATTAGTCACCAAAATGTTTTTTGTTTTGAATTTGAGTTTTCTAAAATTTCGATCTAAGCCTCTAAAAATTAGATTGTCTTTATTAAATCTTGAGCCGTTATTTTCTTAAATGTATAGAGGGTATAATTATTATTATTCTTTTAGTGAGGTTAATCTATACATCTCCAAAATTTGGGGTCCTAAAATTAACCCTAGGTAGGGTTTTACCCAAGAGACTAAATGAACACTATACTCGTAAAGGAGCAAAATATCTTATGGATTCTATAAGAAAAAACAGGTTGAGTCCTCCTCAAACCCGACCTGATCAAGGTAAGATGTACGTCCTCGAACGAGAGGGAGTTTAAAATAGAGTATCTTTCTCATTAGATAAAGGGTGCGGTCTGTATAGAGCCTAGGCTCTAAACAATCAAATTAGAGCCTACCTACAAATTGTGTCGAGAAATATGGTTTCAAAACTGGAAATTTTTTTGATAGCCTTAAAATATATTTTCATCTTTATTTATAAATTTTAAAGCATCAAAAATATTGTAGCTAGAGAGATCTATGAAAACTTAAAAATCTTGAAAATTGACAGTCCAAAAGTACGTTACAAAATACACTATTTCTAAAACTTGAAATCCATTTTTTTCTCATGTCCATTTATCTTGATGTCAAGATGACGAATTTGAGCATCAAAACAATCAATTTTTTATGTAAGCTCGAATTTGATTGTCCAGAGCCTCGGCTCTACATAAACTTTTCCCTTAGATAAATCAAATTACATTTCTACGATTTAGAGAGATGATATAGATTTTTAAGATTTAGAGATATATTTTAAAAATTATTTATATTGTATGAGAAGATCTGGATTTTCTTAACTTCAATACTTTTTATCTTAAAAAAATTTATTTGTTCTGATGTAATTAAATTATTGAGTTCAAAGAAAGATACGGAGAGAGAAAATGAGGGAGAAAAAAAAAAGCGCTCATAGGGAGAGGAAAAGCGTGAAAGGGAAGGAAAGAAAGAGCATGAAAAAGAGGGGGAAGAGAGAGAGAGGGGGCTAATGGAGAGAGAGAAAGGGCGTGAGAGGTGGAGGGGGTTATGGAGAGAGAGGGAGTCAATCGGGACTGGGTCCGGCCAGACCTTGACCGGACTCGACATGTTGCCACCCCTAAGAGAATATAGAAATTAATATGAAAAGAGAGAACATCTTAGCTTATCACCTACTTTTTGAACTTTTTTATCTTTAAAATCAATCAATAATAATTTTTAAGAGTTATATATTTTTTGTTATTTAGTAAATATTTTTTTTTGAAGTTCTATTTTTTTATTTTATACATCTACTTATGTCATCAACTTTATATATTTTAAAAATATATTTATCATTTATTTCTCAACAATATTTTTTTCTCATTTGTCAATCATCTTGACTTTATCATTCTTCCCTTCTCTGCCTTTTTTTATTTTTTTATTTTTTATGTTTAGTTAAATATTAGAGTAATTAAGGTGAAATTTCATTCTCTCTAACGCCAATATTTAAATAATGTATGTCGTTGTTCTAATCCATCATTTTAATTATTATAGACTTCAGTTCTTTATTTTTCATCTTTTAGATTTGTATTCCAATTAATACCAAAACCTTTATGCATGTTATCTAAACCGTTTTTCTTTCTAGTTAGATTAATTTACTATTGTTTCTTTCTCAATAGCATCAAAATTTTCATTTTGTGAGGAAATTAATTGACTTCTTTTCCTTTTTCTTCTTTTGGCTTTCTCGTACATGAATGAGGCATTGGAAAAGTACATAGATTAGATTTTCTTTGTTATCTATTCAAATTTTTTGGT